TCTTTGATTTACCTGATGATCTCAAGGAACGAAAAAGAAAGTAAAGAAAGCAGATTAGAATCCATTGCTTATTAGCGTGCGTCTGGACCTTCGTTTTAAGTACTTCAGCACGTGCTTTTCTTCGCCAGCGGGAAAATACCAGACCTTGAGCAACGTGGGTCGGCGACAGGGTCTGAAAGGGGACTAGCACTGAGTAGTGCCAGGCCCCTGGCAAACCTCTCTCCGATTCGTCTTAAACCTTCCCGCCGGCGGAGAAACGTGCGTCCTGAAGCGCAGATAATGAGGGTTTGGTTTAGTCTTGTACCCAAACCCATCACTGCCATTCCTACATTTTAGTTACAATTACAAGGTTGGAGGAACTGGGTCCTAGATGAGGTCTGCTTACAGGCTAATCTGTTCCATTGAGTATTTAGTCGACCAAAACTTGTTGCACCGGTGTAATTTTATTTGCTTAAGTAAAATGAAGAACGTGGCGAGTGTTTGATCGCGGAGCACTCTTCAAAGTTCATCTAAACTCGTTATTATAAAGAAAACTTGGAAATCGTTCTTTTCGCCATTTCAGCCATCTGCCTTGCTCTGAAGAAGGGCTGACGCTCGACACGTTAGACTTAGAAACTCTTTATGGTGGCCAGGTCGCATCAACTCAGTTATTAAACCAAATTAGCGTCTCTAAGGACTGGGTCCGAACTGTGACATCAGCGTTACAAACTCGTCAACGACAGAAATACGTCAACTGTAGTAATATCATTTATCCTCTCCATGGATTGTTTGCCAAAAGATTCTTTTACGAGATATCTTAACTAGATATGTTTACTTGCTGTTGCATGGATGAACAAAGACTTGGTACTTCCTAATCTTCAGTGAATTGTGCAGTAAAACGACTGTGATTTATCTTTACCAGATAATAAAGCATCATTCTCGAAAGACCTTTTGCCTGAACTAAATCTAGTAAGAAGTTGCATTCAGAGCCAGTAAGATTATTTTGATCGGAATAATTTTTGTTTGTTTACCCACCTGTAATTCTTTAATGTGAATTGTCGACTCAAATGTAAATAAGTCATACAAAAAACCTCTACAGTAACGAATGGACAGAAACTTTTCAGTATTTCTTTGATGTGCCATATGTGTGTTTTACCGTCAGTATTGTTACGTGCGGTGTGATCGCATGGGTAACAAGAAAATTTTCGCATCTTTGAATGATGTTTACAAGTGAATAACCCAACAGCGGTACCAAAGATATTACGTGACTTTTTTTAAAGACCCCACTTCTACACCATTCGTTGATTCCACAAAGAATCGTGAAATACAAAAAAGTGCTCGAGTAGGGCATTTAAACGCAAGGTTTTCTTAAGGCGCGAATTTTTAAAGGTTAAAATGCTCGGGATGAATGTTGAAACTTCGTATGCAAAAGTATTCACTTTTGCTAAAAGACATTAATTCTGGACCTCCATGTAGTGACACGTCAGTTATTGTTATTTTTTGTCTGGTTTTCTAAGCAACTGTTATTATTGTTGTATTTCGCACTGTGGCCAAATTAATCCCCGTAATGAACGGATTGGAGATATTAGCAGTTGAGGCATTGTTCAGAAGCTTTTCATACCACTCTCTTAACGATCTATAGGAAAATAACAAAACAGCAGGCAACGAAGCGTGGCTACCAGGAATATTGACCAATTATTTATAATTGAAATTTAAAATTCTGGAAATTGAAATGCATTGTTGCCAGTCGCTCCAACGCGAGCTTGGCAGGAATCGAAATGTTCGCCGTATCGACGAAATATTTGGCGGGTCTCGATGCTGAATGACCACGAATCGAGTCAAGGAACGAAAGGTCACAGCTTACAAAGTGGAAGCGACGAACTTTATGCATGCGATTTGCGTGTGTTCGGCCATAATGGCTGGGATATTGTCATTACTGGCCATGATCGCCAATGGTGTGCTACTTTATGTCATGTACAAGGATCCATTGCGTTGCTTTCGCAAACCCATTTCAGTTCTTATCGCTGCACTGGCCGCAAACGATTTGTTGACAGGATCTGTTATAAGCGGTCTTCATATACGCAACGAAATATCGTGCAAAATTCGTGAGGATGAAGCGACGATTGGCACGAGTTTTGAAAGTATCATCAGTCTCTTTGCCATAAACAACGGCACGTTTCTTATCATGAGCTTGTCCGTGGAACGTTTGATCGCCGTGGCCTTACCGTTTTACTACCGTGCGACGGCGAGCGGTAGAAAAACGCTGGCATGTGCAGTTTGCGTTGTGGCGTATTCCGTGGGTTTTTGTTTGCTACAATTCACTGGAATTCCGCAGGGAATTTACGACATGTTGCAAGTTCATTTGAATTTGACTTTTCCACTCGTCGCTGTACTTATTTTTAATTTCGTATTGCTAAAAGTTCTACGCGGGTACAGACGGTCCAGACGGCGCGCTTGCTGCATGAACTCTGACGCTAGCGACAACACCGTCTCGGCAAACGAGAAAAGATTCGATATCGATAAACAGTTCGCATTTACAGCCATTCTTATAGTTCTGTTCCTCTTTATTTCGCATTTGCCATTTTATGCTATTACTCTTCTTGAGGTACATTGTTCTTATTGTGCTGGGATGTGGCTGGTTTCGTGTCGGCGAATCTCGCTACCATTTCTCTTCATCAACGCCGCTTGTAATCCATTTACCTACACATTTCGCATTCGCGAATGCCGTCGATCTCTAAAACTCCTCTTTTTTAAATGGCAAGAAACAATTGAGGTTTCTCCGAGAGCCCCAGTGACACCAGACTCCACAAGGAGTCCAATCGCTCTGCGAAAAATGTCACAGGTCTGTCCGAAAACTGGTAGAGTTGTATTT